TATAGCTTCCATTTTTACGGCGGCATTCTCTTACTAGAGTGTCAGCTTCCTTGCACAAAAACGCTTGTTATAGGCCAACTTCGAAAATTAATACAAGTCATTTTTACAAAACTATTTATTTTTCTTTTTTCTGTTTTTTTTTTGCAAGAACGTCCAGTGATTTAATCTTGACATATGCATTTGAATATGATTGTTGTTCACAAATATTTGCATAGGAAAAAGAAGGACAATTTCTCATAACTTAAGAAACGGGGACAAAAACTAAAAACGTCAAACCCGACAGTTACTTGGTCCAGCAAGTACCAGGGTAGAGACAACTTTGAAACATAGTCATCAGTACATACACTCCTGCGACGCCTACACTCCCCACAGAGTAAAGGTAATCAAAGCATTGATATCAGTTCTCTCGAAACGGGTAGTAACCTCCCTAGCCAGGGTCGTCCAGAAACTTGACATCTATATCCCCCAGCCAAATTTCATAATCGCGAGCGGATCATCATAAATTATTATCTCCCCGAGCAGAGTTTCTTTCTCTGGATACAGAAACTCAATCCCCAACAAAGCTTGTTACTTCAACTACGGAAGTCCACCTTCCAACAGAGTCATTCCCCCGCATAGCTATTATCATACAGAGTCTCTCCCTAGCAGAATATTCACAAAAAACAAAGAACAAATCTCTGGCATAGTCACTTCCGTTCACCATCCCCAACGGAAGTAGAAGAATCACAGTTCTCTACAACAGTCAGGAATGTTATGCTCTCCAGCAGCAGTCAGGGATTTATTTTCCCAGACTCTGACATGTCACAATAGCATTTTATGTTCATACATCATGACGTGCGCATACATATCACATACAGCATAATCTTATTCATTTTGAGAACATCATCTCACAACACATTTCATGCATCGCATATAATTAACCCTGTTATATTTTCAGGAAAGACAATTATCACCAACAATTCCAGCAGTTATACATGTCCTATCTGCAGACAGCTAATGAAAAATCAGTTCCCAAAACCAAACGGGTCAACTAATCTACATGATCAAGCAAAGTAAGCCATACTATCCAGGCTTTCATCTGGAAGTAACCATACTATCAAGGTTCCTTCTCATAGCCTTACTATCCAGGATTTCATCTCATAGCCCTACTATCTAGGCTCTCATCTCGAAGTAGCCCTACTATCCAGGCTTTCATCTTATAGCCCTACTATTTAGGCTCTCATCTCGAAGTAACCCTACTATCCATGTTCCTTCTCATAGCCCTACTATCCAGGCTTTCATCTCATAGCCCTACTATCCATGCTCTCATCTCGAAGTAACCCTACTATCCTGGTTCCTTCTCATAGCCCTACTATCCAGGATTTCATCTCATAGCCCTACTATCCAGGCTCTCATCTCGAAGTAACCCTACTATCCAGGTTCCTTCTCATAGCCCTACTATCCAGGATTTCATCTCATAGCCCTACTATCCAGGATTTCATCTCATAGCCCTACTATCCAGGCTCTCATCTCGAAGTAACCCTACTATCCAGGTTCCTTCTCATAGCCCTACTATCCATACTCTCATCTCGAAGTAACCCTACTATCCAGGCTCCTTCTCCCTTATCTCCGGACAACAGTTTACAACACTGTAAGGCCAGACCCGACCAGATGCAGTCGATTTCACATTTCCCCAGTAAGTCGTTATACAACCTGGACCCTAACCAGATATGCATTCTACTTTCACCTCCTCAATCAAGAGTTAAATCCCCAGCAGAGTAATGGACAACAGAAGCTCCTAGACCCTACTTCCCAAGACATAAATCAAAATTCCCCAGCGAAGTCCTCCTCAACCGCAGGTACAGGAATTCTCGCCAAGGAATCTCTTATGCAACCGATCTTTTCTGGATGGCATCTCTAAGCCCATCTCCGACGATTCTCCGTCGCCTTCCAAATGGAATCTGCAAGCTCATTCCCGATATCACCAATCAGTATTACTTCATGCGAGTGCAAATTTTTGGGCACTCTAGTGTTCAATCATCTTCCACCTTCAGATCACGAAAGGCAGACCAACCAATCTACATCCTCAGGCTTAATAAGATTGAACAGGGGCAGTTGTTGTACCCCAAAATTTTCCCTCTGATTTCTCAAAGGATCATCCTGGACCCTCAGGTTTTCTTCTATCAAGTTTCAAGTCTTGGATTACAACTTTTCAAGAAAATCACCCACAAGGGCAAAATGGTCAAAAGTACACTGAAAAGTAAAACTTTGACTTTTAAATCAAAAATCAAGTTTCAACAATTATATTTCATCAAGAAATAAAATTGGTTCATCAAAAAATCAGAAGTCAGAAATTACTTTGAAAAAAAATCAAATTTCTAAACATTTAGAAAATTTTCTAAGTGTTAAGAGAATATGATACTTCAGAACTTCTGAGCCAGCCTCCACGCAAGTGCCGTCAGAAGTTGAAAACATGGTTCAGAACATAGTTCTTCAATCAGAACATGACTCTTCAGCATATGCTTCGATCAGAGCATCACCCTTCAAGTTTCATTCTGGTCTTCTTTGATCAGAACATCACAAAGCCCCAAACCCTGTTTGAACAGCCTGTTGCACTGCTATAGCACAGTCCTGCAACCAGCTACCACAATACTCCAAATTGCCGATGATCTAGTCCACGCCTGCATTTTTCTCAAACCCTATATTTGCATCAAATTAGCATACAAAAACTGTGATTAAAAAGCAATGGAACATTATACCAAAAGGGTTTAAATCTCATTTGTTCCCCCCCCCCCCCCCCAAAATAAAAAACCACAACAAACCCATCTATAAATAATTGGCTCCATCACACGTTTAAGGGGTTGGTTTTTGGAGAGAGTGTTGTCAAAAGAGAGAAAAGAAAATTGTGAAACCTTCGTAAAAATCCATAATTCCCAAACAAAAAACCAAAACCTTTGTTCTTCCCTTTGAGTCAAAGAACTTGGCATTTTCTCTTCCGTTACTCTTGCTGACTCCAGAACATCTGAAGGCAGCAGTTCAAGTTCCAAGCACACGCTTTAGGTTCAAGGTAAGTCTTTCTGACTTTTCATCTTTTCATTCAGAACATCATTAAAAATGTAAATATCATAGTATTGATGTTATCCATATCATTGCATAAGTAGAAAAAACCTATGGATAAGAACTTCTTGATTAAGGCTAGGCTCAGGATTAGGATTAGAACTTCTATAAACTGTTGTGCTTTTGATTTGCTGTTAAGGACTGAATAAATTGCTGATGTGCTGATTAATATGAGGAAGGAGTTAAAATGTGGCACAGAACCTATGATTTTCACTCACTGTTTTAGCATAACATAGAACTTTTGAGTTCTCCTTACTATTAAACACACTGAACTTCTGATGTTTCCACTAGCTGTTTTAACACTTAGAATTTCTGACTTTCGCACGCTGATAACACACTGAACTTCTAGGCTTTCTTACTGTTTTAACATACACAAAACTTCTAGGTTTTCTTACTATTTTAACGCACAGAACTTCTGATTTTCACTCACTGCTTAGCACAACACAGAACTTCTGACTTTTGGCTCACTGTCTGAATACCACCCAGAGCCTCAATTTCCTTTCCCTCTAACGTTTCTTGCAGGACCTCAGAGTGTACTAATCTAGAACTTCTGATTCTCACTGACGTTTCTTTCTGAGTCACAGCACGCCTGGCATCAGAACTTCTGATCCCATTTGTTTTGCTTTCAACAGCATATTAACCCTATCTCATTTATTTTCTTTTTTATCATTTTCAATATTAATACTCTTTTAATTAATATAAAGAAAAATGACATAAAAATATTTTCTTTTTACTAACTAATTTATTTCTTTTTTTCTTAACTCATTAAGACAAAAAACCATTTTCTAAACAAAGTCATTTTTCTTTCTCGCATTGTACATTTCAATATGGTTGTAATAGTTAAATATGATTTAAACTCTTGCAACCCCCCATTTGTAAATATGTATCCCCCATCCCTAAAATATTGTAATAGCGTAGGACTTTTATATTTTCGCAATTTATCGCTTTTCAAATATAAATGCTAGTAATTAGGATGTGTATGGCAAGATATGAAATCAACAAATAGATAACCCTAATCAAGACTAAAATGCATGCAATCAAACACACTTGCACACTATTACCCTTAGGGTAATCCCACTTTTTTGCCTATCGGAAAAATAGTCATGTCCCTCGAACATGGGCGTTTTAGCAAAAGATCCTCGATAAAAGATTGTAGTCCATCGATGACCCTCGATGTTGCCTTCGATAAACGATCTAGTCCCTAAAACGACATTGCTAAAACGTCTCAGAAGTTGCTTTCTATGACTATACAAACACGTGTTGTGCCCGTCCCTTCACATCCAACGATGAGGCTTCTTATCAAATCAATGGTAAGATAGTAACATTTAAAGGAGGAGGAAAAGAACATGTAAGACCTTTTGAGTAGGTAGATTCGCTCCTAGTTGCTCGCTTGCTCACAACCAAACATTTTACACCAACATTTTCACATTAAAAACTTGTTTTCAAAAGACAAAATCTTTTTGTATACGTTCTTATAGAGACGAGAACCATTACAAAAACATCTTTTCAAAGATCACTTTCAAAAAACACATTCCACACACACCTCTTTGAACTATTTTCCTAACAAACACTTTGTACGCGTTCTCATAGAGACGAGAACCATTACAAAGACGTTTTCAAAATACTTTCAAAAACCACAACACAAACACATTCAAATAAAAGCAAGTGATCTAGCAAGTAACTAAGAGCCCATAGAAAACCATGGATGAAAAGGGTGCTAACACCTTCCCTTTTCATAATCTACCACCCGAACTCAAGAAAACATCTCTAAAGGTCTTTCCTGTGCTTTTTCACCTTTCCTTTTGGATAAAAAAAGTCGGTGGTGACTCTTGCTAAACCGCAACATTTGCGATCAAACGCAAAACAACCAAGTCAGTTCTCCCACCGTATCACAACTTCACTCCTCATACCTTATAAATGTTCCTCAACTTAGTCACCCTCTTAGTAATCAGAGGTCTTTTGACATTGATTTTCTTAGATTGATTTTTGAAGAAAGTATCAACAGAATCAGATTCTACTCTAAGAGAAACTTCAGCAAATAAAATCGATGGTTGAAATGTTACGCCTTCAACCTTAGTATCTACTCCCTCCTCCCTAACTGCCACGTGAGCTTCATCGAAACAACCAACCCCCTTCCCATTACCCTTCTTACAACGCCTAGAAAGTTCCTCTGCTTCTTTACCATCCTGAGATTTAGGATTAGAGAAAGAGTCATTGTTACTGTTGTGTCCCTTGCCTAAATTGGTACCAGTCCCTGACATAACAGAGACTTGATCACTACCAGCATCTGCGGGATTCCCTCCCCCCTGATTGCTCCAACCAAACTCAGATTCTAATGATTCATCGGAAGACACCAAACTCCTCGCTTTCTTTAGCAGATTGACCCTTAAATGGGCCATAAGATTCTTCCACCAATCTGATCGTGTATACAGATTCATCAATCTTAATCTTCATGAACTTATCAAGAACTGAATCGCGCAGAGCTCTGATCAAGATCCTCGCAATGACTATGTTGATAGAATTCAGTGTGCTCTCTTCACAACAGACATAACTACCAACCTCATTTGCCAACATTTCAAACCGACCCAATATAAATCTACCGTCTCTAGGAAGGAATATAATTGTAAACTATTAAACAATCTCTCATATAGTACTAGCTCTGATCCTATTAATAAAAATAAATAATTTTTTAAATATATTAAATAACTAATATATTTGAATAATATATAGACCAAATCCATTATCTATTTTCCTACAAAATGTCATAGCACTCTTTAGTAGTAAGTATTTTCTTAAAGATAATTATTAAATTACTTAAATTTTAGTATACTAGAGTTTTTCTTTTTTTTGAAATAGTAGTTTACACTTGCATGTCCCCACTCCTTTTTTCTTTAAAAAGAACATTCAATTAAAGCACTTCGCTTAATTAATTCACACACAAAACACACATTTCAATAATTCTACAACCTGCATAGCAATCACGGGGCAGGCAGTACTTCAAGACTATGACCCATCTCTGTCTCCATAGCACGCTTCCTCTTCTTTTCTTTATCTTGTTTAATCTCACCATAGAAATACGACACAAACCCCCAAAGAGAAAGCACGAGAGAAACCCCTTTCTCAGCTTGAAATCTTTCTTTATAGAAAATCACCGCCAACACTTCAGTCACCGGCAAAAAAACAGCAATCAAAATGCCCGACAACAAAGATGAGCCACAAAAAATAACTCCAATTGCTCCCAAGAAAAACGCTTGCCATAACATTGCACTCATCACCAACACCACATAGTATGTTCTTTCCCCTAATCCAAAATTCCTTGCCTCCCTCGGAATCACCTTCATATTAATTAAAAAAAAAAACAATTAAAATTTACTAAACAAACCAAAACAAAACTCATTAAATTTAGTATACGGATCTTCTACAACTATACAAGAGTTCAGAGTAGTTGACTGAATGACTATTTAAGTAATTCAGTCAGGACTCTGTCACACAGAATCTGTATTACCTTAAAGTCATTATTTGCGATCATGCCGACCGTGCAGAAGAGAGTAGCAAATAAACACATAACAAACTGAATTTCCATAACAAGAGAATAAGTAAGGTTTTGTTTGGTTTTTTTATAAATCAATTCAACTGAAGGCAAAACAAATCCATATAATGCAGAAGCAGCAAGAGTAGTGAGAAAACCGATAACATATTGCTTCGTAGAAACACCGGCAGGTCGATCTCCAGAAGTATGCATAGCCAAAACGCCAGCTCCAACTGTAAGCAAAACGACGGCGTTTACAGAGAAAGCAGTGAATTTCTGTTTCACAAGCAGAAAAGCGAAAACCGCCGTGAAACCAAGCTGAGAAGCGATTATTAAAGCAGAAGTTGAAATTGGAAGCCGAGCAACGCCGTATGCGTAGAGATAGTCGTCGAGGCCGGTGAGGATTCCGATGAAAGCTACGGCGAAGAAAAGAGGAGTATTCATGGAGATTATTTTTAGCTTTGCAGCGGATTCGGTGGTGGTTGATGGTGGCTGACTTAGGTGGAGACGGCGGCGATTGATGTACGAGATTGTGAGGGGGAGGATCATTATAGGGAAACCGGCGGTTTCGAGGAAACAGGAGAGCCAGACGCGGTGGCCGCCGTGGATGAAGTAGAGACGCATTATGAGGGGACCACCGGAGTTTCCTAAGGCTAACAATAAACAGTTAATTACGAGAAGAATTCTCTTCATCTTTCTATCTGTTGTTTCTTGTTTCTTTTCTTCTGCCATGTGTCTGAGTTTTTTTCTTTGTCACTAGTTTGGTTTGTGAGTTTCAATCACCGGGAGACAATATATACACTTTTATTGGAGTAATTTACCATAACAGATATTGCAATACAATTATTTGTCATGGTATGTATAGAAGAATAGTTTTCTTAGCATAATAGTAATAACATATTCTTGAAACAGTTTAGTATTATTATGTGTAGACCTCTCTTTTGAAAATGTTATCTTTAAAAATTATTCCTGACTTTATTTTTTTTTGAAGTTCTTACGAGTTTGTTAGGATTGAAATGGACACAAAACTACAAAGTAAATCACTTAAAAAAACAAAGCAGCAAAACAATTTTTTTTTTTTTTTGTGTGTGTATTTGATTTTGATTTGAAGTTATATGAAACTTAAGTGATTAATCGGTTTTTTTTTTTTATAAGAAGTGATTTATGAGATTTTTTTAATTATTAATTTATAAATGTCAACTTATGTACATTAATAAATTAGAACTAATATCTTGCATGAGTGTTAATTAGGGATTACTAACGGGCATGTATGTCTCATTTAAATCTATTTTGAAAAAATTCAAAAAAAAATGGGACAGACACGTATTTTGTTGAACGTGCGAGGCTAAAACTTTGCCCCACCTTGCAAAAAATTAAGAGGGGTGGAGCAGATCCGCGGGTATTGCATCTTTTTGTTGAAATATTTGATATAGTATTAGATATAATTCATGTTATGTAATCCAAGTCCAAACCCAATTAGGATTTGTTAGTTTACTTAGTGTACAAGTTAGTTGTATATAACTAGACTAGTTTGTAAATCAGTTTGTTATAATTCAATTTAATAGTATAATCCTTATTTCTTTTTTCTCACTTTTTCTCTCCTCACTAAAAGTGCATCATGCACTATCAAATTGGTATCTAGAGTTTCTGTTAGATTTTTGACCGTGTTTTCAAGAATCACACGTCAGAGATCGTATTTTCAGGCACTTTAAAACATGTTAATATTGATGTCTAAACATCATAACACAATGTCAAGATAGATATTGTGACATCTGTTGACAGACAGAACTTAATATATCAAAATTGTAACTTATGCAGAAATAAATTACAAAATGATAAATAACACAGTTGATTGTTAACCCAATTTAGTGCAATGTCACCTACTTTGGGGGCTACCAAGCCAGAAAGGAAATTCTCTATGACAACATTAGTTCAAAAGCTAAACAATCTTAGTTTACAACTTCTCGCTTAAACACTATCTTGTGCAACTTCTACCTAGAAACCTTCTAGATATGAGATCCCTCTCTCACTTCCTACCAATCACCCCAGTGATAAAATATAATCACAAACCATTGACTAAAATCAAAACCAAAATATTACACTTCCAATAAACAATACTCAACTCTATGCTTAAAAGCTTCAAGAGAAAGAATAATAACTTTATAAACAATCAAGTAACAATCCGTCTATCTCATTGTATCAAAAGATACATGGGTAACTTACAAAAACACAAGAGACTCTCAAAATCTAAGACTCTAAACTTCCCCTAACTTTACAATTGTGAAAAAGTTCAATTCCATTATGTTTTTGTTTCTCTTTAAATACACTTCAGTATTCCATGGACTTCAAAACCTTCACCCAGATATTTTTTTTATCCACAAGCTGAGGGTTACACCAATTATGCAGAAAAATCTCCTTAACTCTTGGAACAAAACATCAAGTTTCCTAAATTGTCTCAACATCCAATTAGAAACTTATGTACAACTGGAGATTAAATCAAATGTTCCAGATTAAATCTTCTTGACCTGCACAAATCATTGAGATATATCTACAAGACATATCACAATCAAATATGTCAATAATTAAAACAGCTTGTATTATGTTCTACTTTAACATGTCAAAATATTTTTCATAACATATGTCTTCAATGTAACCTCACACTCTGTTGTATCAATTTGGTCAAGATGTTATAACATCTTGCTCAAAATCGGCTATGAACTATGTTTTAGCAAAATTTAGGCCAATCATACAACCATGGATCTAACAATATCCCCCTTTGGAAAATTTTGGCTAAAATAACCATTGCACAATAACTATGGAGAGAGGAATAAAAACACAACCATAAAACACAAGCTACATGAAAAACATGTAAAATTTGTACAAACTGCAAACATAACAATATATCAGAGATTACATGCAGTTACAGATGATCATCTTCAAAACTTCCGAAGACATATGTCAATACATGTCAACTGACATCAGTCGTCACATTTCCAAGTTCAAATAGGACCAGTACTCCCCCTGTCACACATAATGAATCCTCCCCCCTCAAAGGGAAAACCTAAATCACTAGAAGAACAAACTTGAACTTCAAGGGGAAAACCCAAAGCACAAGAAAAACAATCTTGAACTATCCAAGTTCACACATTAGAAGAACATGAAGCAAGAGAAACACACATAAATCAGAGCACTAGAGTCTTGGACTACCATAAGGTAACCAAGGTTCTCCACACAACACAACATGCGTGATGTTAGAACATCTTGTAAGACATCATGCACATAACCACGTTAGAAGTAGCAGTAGCAGTAGAAGCACAAACACCAAACAGACATGACAGGAAATCATGCTCCCCCTAAATAGTTGTATATAACAAGTAACCACAATAAACTACTCTCCCTTTAGTAGTAATGCAATCCTATCAAAATCCTAATAAACATGTCAAGACATGTGACATAACATCAGGATACACTAAAACACTAACACTTTACTCCCCATTTTTAGCCAAAAATTGAGAAAAATATAGTAAATGTAAAAGACAAAATGGAAGCACATAGTATTACTGGAAAAAAACAAAAATCTGGAATCGCAAAAACTTGATGGAAACACAAATTGAAACACACACTAGTACTGAAAACAGACATATGGAAACAAAAATAGTGATGGAACCAAACAATGTTAGGGAATTATTATAGATCCAACTAATAAAGAACAAAGCAGGAAAATTCAAGACCAGTTATTCAAATGAGCCACTGAGTCAACATAAGCAATCCAATCTTCATCCCCATTCAAGACAGAATCATGTAGTTGAACATGATTTTTCTTGAGATACATCACCTTTGACATAAACTTTTCCTGTCACCAATGCTCTAGTAGATGATCCAACAGATGTTTCCACCTTTGACACAACCTTTTTTGGATCAATACTATTATCCCTTTTGGCTTCCTGCATACGAACCTTCTCAACATCTTTATTTATGCAAGACTGGCTCATGTTGAAATGTAGTTTGAGAGGAGGGACAACTAGTAAGGTATTGATTAAAGTGGGAGTTACCTTGTTTGTAATGATATCTTTCTTATAACGCATGACCAATCAAGGAGATAGTGTTTGAAAAACTCATAATAATCTTTATTAACAGTGCACCACTCACCACAAGAGAGAGACACTTCCTTGATGTTCTTTTTCTCTTTCCAAGATTTCACTGTTGGAGATTCTCACACCATTTGAAATGATTTTGACATAGTTAGATATAACCTCTTCCCAACCTATGAATGCTCTCAATCATCAGCAACGTGTCTTTCAAAAAACATCCCTCAAGTTCTCAATATGATTTGCATTCAAGTCCAAATAAAACATCTTTCAGTAGATTCTACGAGGTCCCAAACTTAGGAGTAACACTTTTTTCTGAAGAAAGACCCCTAATGTGATACGGTGGAAGAACCGATTGTTAATACTGGTTTGCTTTTTTTGTTCGCAAATGTCGCGGTAAGCAAGAGTCGCCACCGACTTTTATTTTATCCAATCAAGAAAAGGAAAAAGAACAGAAAAAACCTTTTTCAAGATGTTTCTGAGTACGGGGGGTAGATTATAGAAAGGGAAGGTGTTAGCACCCTTTCTATATGTGGTTTTCCACGGGCTCTTAGGTACTTGCTCATTTTGAAAACTGCTTGTGTGTGCTTGTTTTGAAAAGTTTTGTTTTACTTCGTATTAACCCTTGTTTTTGTCCTCAAGAGTGTTACGAAGTTGTTTTTGAAAACTTTGTTTGAAAAGTGTTGGTGTTAAAAAGTTTTTTTTTGTTTGATAAAGTTCTTAGGAACTAATCTACCTACTTGAAAAAGGTCTGTTTATTTTCCTTTTAGACAATGTTATCCCATTATTGAGAAATAGGTAGCATCGTTGTTGGAGTTTTTTGGGGACATTCGAAGGGACAAATACGATCACAAAAGCAATGTTAGGAAATGTTAGTAATCATCCTAAAGCCTTAAATATCTTTTTCCGAGGCATCATCTGAATGGGTCATTTTAGATCTTTCGGGGCTAGAGGACAACTACTAACAAACCTTATACTTCATGACCATTTACCGAAGGCAACCTGAGTGGAGTAAACCCTAGGAGTGAGCATGTGCGAGTGTAATTTTCAGTTAATTTATCTTTGCACATTTAGGGTTTTCTACCGTATTAGTTTTCAGTTTGTCTTTCCATACAATCCTATTAACATACATCTAAGTTGTTTATAGTTTGCAGAAATTAAAGCGAGAAACTTAAAAGTCCTAGCTATTACAAGGCTTTTGCAGATACATAATTATCTTGGATTGAAAATAAAGATGCGGAATTTAAAACCCTAATTACTATTACAAACTTGGAGCAGTTACAATAATAATAAAAAAGGAAATTTAAAGCGCGCGGCGAATTAAATGCGAGAATAATTAGAAAACCTAAAAAATCTAGTTGAAAAAAGATTTAGGTTATTTTTGAGAAAAAATTAATTAAGTTATGTACAAAATTAAACCGTAATCCTAATTATTGTTAATTATAAAAAAAATAGTTAAATTGCCCTAATTTAATTAAACTAATTAGTTAAAGAAATAAAATATTTTTATAAAAATAAATGATTTTTAATGTTTTTATGATTTTTTGATTAAATAAAAAAGAAATAATTTTGATGTTATTTTAAAAAAGAAAATAGTTAGAAAATAATTAAAAGAAATTAAAATAAAAAAGAATGGAATGGGCC